TATGTCTTGTTAAAAAATGGTGTCTCTGGTAAAGTTTATGATGTCCTAAAGGCAATGTATTCACAATTACGATCTTGTGTAAATACTAGTTTTGGTTTGAGTGAATATTTTGACTGTAATGTCGGTACGAGACAAGGTTGTATGGTCAGCCCAACACTGTTTATTTTGTTTTTAAATGAGTTTATCGATATGATAAAGCAGTCAGACTGTAGAGGTATTTATGTTGGTAATTTTCTAGAAAATTTCACAACATTGTTATTTGCTGATGACATGGTAAATGCGGCGGATAGTGTATTTAGATTGCCACAGCAGATAGATATTTGATGTACATTCTGCAATAACTATGGTATGAAAGTAAACATGCAAAAAAAAGATTTTGGTTTTTAGAAGAGGTGGGATAATAAAATCATCAGAAAAATGGAATTCTGAAGGGCACGTTTTAGAATCAGTTTCTAATTATAAATATTTAGGCATTTATTTTACACCTGCTTTAAGTTGGGGAAAAGCCTGTCAACATTTATCTCAACAAGCAAAGAAGGGAACCTTTTCTCTTTTAAAGTTTATTAAGCGTTATAACATCAACACTTCCAAATCATTGTTTTTATTTGATAGAATGATTTTACCAATCCTTGTATACGGCTATGAAATTTGGGGATAACAAAATATGTCATGTATTGAAAGTATTCAACTTTATTTTTGCAAACAATTACTTGGTCTTTCAAGTAATACTAGTAATGCCGCAGTACTTGGTGAATTAGGAAGGTATCCATTATATGTAACGTATGTAACAAAATTCATTAAATACTGGTTGAAAGTATTGTCTATGCCAGATTGTAGATATCCACTTATTTGTTATAAAATTATGTACTCTCTTGATAATGTTGGTAGACAAACATGGGTTGGATTTGTTAGAGACATTTTGTTTGAGTATGGTTTTGGTTTTGCTTGGCTAAATCAAGGTGTTGGAAATGCGCATATGTATATGTTTTTAAATTCTTTTGTACAAAGACTCAAAGATGTCTCTTTTCAAAAATGGCTATGTAATATAAATGAAAATGTTAAACTAAGTTTCTATGAAAAATTTAAGTTCTCACTTCAACCTGAACCATATTTGATTAACATAAACACACAACTTTTTAAAAGGTTTTTGACCAAATTTCGCTGTGGGAACCATAATTTACGTATTGAGTCAGGACGTTGGGAAAGTATTTCAGTTGAAAATAGAGTGTGTTTACATTGTGAAAAGATTTATTCAATAAGATTGCTTGAGGATGAAGAACATTTTCTTTTAATTTGTCCATTGTATGAAAACTTAAGAAATGAATACGTACATATTGCAAAATATTATTATAATGTTACTAATATCATGTCAATTTGTAACAAGCAGCACGCCTTGAAGTTAGGAGCTTTTATATTTTACAGCTTTAAATTAAGACAAAACTGGACTGAAAACAATTGTAAATGATTTAAATGTATCATGTAAGCATATTTAAATGTTGTTGGTAAACCAATCAAATATTGTCACATGTCATAATTTATGTAATGGGGTACTCTGTCAAGTATATTAAAGGACTATGTATGTGAATTATGGGCCGGATGGCCTACATTTCTGAAATAAAATCAATCAAAATCAAACTCACTCACTCCCTTGATACAGGAAACCGCCTCCGTGGTGTAGTGGTAGAGCGTCCACCCGGAGAGCGGAAGGTTGCGAGTTAAACTACAAGACGTTAAAATATGGTACTTGTTGGTCACTGCCTGGCGCTCGGCATTAATGGGTACAACAAGGACTGGTCGGCTCGAAGTCAGTGTAATGTGTCTGAGTGGGGTATTCATGCTTAACTGCGGCATGGTATCTCAGTGAGCTGGCACTATAAAACCAGCTAAGTCCGGGCTAGTACAAGCAGCCACACATACACACGCATGCGCGTGATCATATGAGCGAAATATTATTAAGTACAGCGTTAAACCCAATTTCCCCTCATCAGGTATCATCAGGTATCAGCTTTACCCCTCAAATCAAACAACAGTAAATATTACGTCCACATAATCAGTTATACGTTTGAATGCGTGGGTTACAGATTATCAACGGCCTTTCATTTCCCTACGTATGTTTTGTATTATTTTAAATATTTATTAGACCTTTAAAACGTTTTATCACAACGTCGAAATCTGTGTCGGATGATTGTGCTTATTCATGATAAATGAAATGCCATTAAGAAAATGGTGAAAAGTAATTATATTTATATGGGTTTTTGTTGGGAGAGGTACACAAAGTACCTTTTTCTCGACTACCAGGTGTCCGATTTCAATTTTGTGGAAGCCGCGCTGGCTGAGTGGGTTAGATCGCGATCCGTAGGTCATTAAATGAGGAAGTACCATTTACTTAAATATTCCAGTTTCGGTCACTTTGATACTTTGTTAGCAGGTGTCTCATTTAACGCAAATTTTTTGCCGATTGGTATCTGACTGTCACATAATACACTTCTAGCGCCACAGTGAATGTTGAGATGTGTTATTTGGGACTTGAAGTGAAAACTAAATCAATCCTTGTTCAACGAGGGTTCTGACCAGTGAGCAACACTCACACTATACAGCACAAGAGTGCCAGGTTTACTGGCGCGGACACCTCACTGTGCCTGCACCTATTGTTCTTGGTAGAGGTTCAGTCGGCCATTGTAGATTGGTAAACAATGGGGGATTAACTATAGTTGCAGTGAAGTAGACTTGAAAAAAACCCAAAATATACATATTACAACAAATATACTATATACACCACAAATAGTGATGTAATTTAAAAATGTGCTGAATTATGCAGTTATGGAAGTAAAATTTATCAAATCACATATTATTTTTTTAAAATTCAACTAACCCATCAATTGCTGGAACAGACTTGCTTTTCATTGTGAACTTTCGTTTTCAAGTTAAATAAGAGTTCCTGAATGACAATAGCTTTGTTGTTTCCAGGATGGTTGTGAATATCACGATATGTTGTGGTGAAGTGGTTGGATGTGTTTATTGTTGCTGGGGCAGTTCTTTCTACAGCAACGCCAGTGCACAGTCGTGTTTCTTCTGCTCCTAACTGTAAATCTGTGACCATTACCAATCATATTCAGACATTAATGACACTGTGGTCACTCTGTGACATGCCAACTTTAATTAAACAGCCTATAACCCGAAATGTTGTAAACTGTGGCTTTTAATCCCTTGTAACAACATATAGGGTACCGGTACAGTGAGGTTAAACCTTACTGGGTATCGCAACTGTGTGACACGACAAGCTCATAAAACTCGATAGCAGTATGAAATCTTCAGTGGACTTGCAAGTCCACGGTAATGCTTCGTTACATGATGGTGGCTGAGACCAGTCAGATAGGTTATGACAAGCAATCATAAAATGCTACCGACCAACTCAGCAGTGATGTAGTGAATTGAAACGAAAACAATGAAACATTCAAATATTTATTATATAATATGTTGCTTCACGTCCCATTAGCACTTGTGAAGACAGGTATGGCAATCCCGCTCTTCACAACTCAAAACACTTTGCTACCGTACTCACAGACGCGTATCATGCATTAGGTATCACCTTTATATCTGCATGGTCATGACCAGTGTCGACATTTGTTTTAAATTATACTACAAACAAAAAATATGGGAACACCCTAAAATTCGATAGTCATATATAAACTGAAACGTAGTGAGGTCATTTATATTCCAAGGTAAATGCAACTTTTGTGTGCTTAATGGGCACTTTAAACGACATGTTGGAACATGCAGTGAACCAACTGATTCAATATTCGTTGAGTTTGAGTGAAATGAAACATTGTGAAAAAAGAGAAAAACAAGGGTGCTGAAACACACCAGCACCATGTTTGATTCAAACGCCCAAACACAACAGCCTAGTGCATGTGGAAGACAGACTTCCATTGAAGCTTGAGGTTCTATTATGAACAGTATAGACCAATGACAATGAATAGTAATCATTTACCCTACCTTACTCATTAGCATGTTTTGTAATATTTCTGATAGTCTAATGTCAGTGGCAAATATACAGGGAATTTAATTAAGCATCAACCATATATTTTTCGGACTGAGTAACTTTAATTAAAAGGTGCACCAAGGTTTCCACGAATGGTAATGAGGTCCATCTTGCAACCCAAGGAAATGTGGGTAACTGTCGTGACAGATGCATGTCTTTCGTTCCAGCTTCCAGGAAGTAACATTTTGCAGAGGTCCGATCTGGTCTAGTAGACAGTAGTAGAATATATTAACAAAGCCGATCTGGGGCGGTGGGGTAGCCTAGTGGTTAAAGCGTTGGGTCGTCACGCCGAAGACCCGGGTTCGAATCCCCACATGGGTACAATGTCTTACAGATCGCCATCATATAGCGGGAAAATTGTTGTTTGAGGTGTTAAACAACAAACATAACTTGCATTCCACCCGTTATTACAACAAACGTCTGTAGACTAAAGCAGCAGTGCAGAGTTTCGTTTCTATGAAACCTAAGATTCCATTTCGTTTCCAAGTCTGTTTACGTAATACTGGCAATTTCCTAACATGCGGTAATATAACTGGGATAGCCCATTGTTCAAGGTGGCGTAAACCAATAACACCCACCTATACCCCTGATTCACTCTCTTACTCACGCTACCAACCCCACCCCCTGATTTACCCACCCACTCACTCACTCAACCTCGAATCACCCCCTCTTGCTCACTCAAGTATACCAACAAAACATATATAGAAAAACAGACATGTTTTTTGTATAACATTTTTTATTATGACATATATACAAGTACTATATATATGGATTTCCACAATGTCTCTACATTAACGTGTGCCTGCATGTGAAGCCAGGATACCATACAAACAGTACCCCAGGATGAGCTACATCCAATCAGTTACGTTACTAGTATAGATTGTGCAGCTGTTCTGCATCACATGTTGGACAGTGTCGTGGCAATGATAGCACATTAGCAAATCCTTGTCATGTCTTCAAAATTTGCATTTAATTGTTCCCCAAAACGTGAAGAAAAAATGGTATGTCCGAACAGTCAATTTCTCTGAGTGATAATACATGGCCGTGGATATTGGATGGTTAACTAAAGAGATTAATCAATGATCTAATGCATGGACGTGTAGTTTCCTATGGTGAGTGCAATCCTTTAGTTATGACTATTATGCCATGTTCTGAGTATTTATGAAACAAATAAAGTATAAAAGGTAAACTACCATATGTCGTATGACATAATTACAACATCCCTGTACAAACACGCATTAGCCATTACAAGAGGGAAGAAATCTGACATTTGACTTTCGGGTATAGACAATAATAAAAACCGATGGTTTGTTCCGGATGAATAGATTTTCACTGCTCTAAGGCAGTATACAAAATGTGTTGTATAAGAAATGTACTGCCCCGTTATAACGTGGGCGGGAATTCATAAGACTGATGTCGCTTTTTGCGTAGATGCTTATCACAAAAATATTATCATAAAAGCCAAGTCATAAAAGTAACTTTTGAAAGTATATTGTCATCGTCCAGGGAGAAATTAGTGAGATGGGTTTTTTTAACATCCTCTCACATCGATACATGCAGTGTCCTTCTCTTCCGTGACGGTGTAACGAGATTGATGGGGATACATTATTGCAGGTCTACCCGGTTCCAGCTGAAACAGAAAATTGTGATCGTTGTATGACATAAATCAACATGAAACTACATCCAACGGTTGAAAATATACATCCACAATTCTCACCTTAATAACATTTTACGATTGTTTGTTTTTCAACCAACCCTCACATGGATTACAAACTATCTCAGCTATTCTGTACCACCTTCAAGGCACACTATTTTGTACCAGCATTTATGATTTGAAATGTATTCTGTCACGTAAAATGTTCCCTTTTAGACATTTTAGCCCCGCGTAGCCTGTGGTCAAGTAATAAAAAACACGGATCGTTGTCGGCAATTTGAGCGTACCATATCTGTATCATTACTTTATTTCAATGGTTTCTGCAATTTTAAATTTGACCTTTCCAGCGGGTTTTGGCAGTTCAAAAAATACAATATCCTTGGATCATGGATTCGTGGACAGGACAGGTAATACAAAACAATAAGAATGCACAATGCCAGTTAGAAATTAAAGCGGTCACATGTGACATGTTATATGTTACATTACACTTTCAAAGTACAGGTTCTAGTACTTTTGTTGGGTTGAGTCCCATTCGGGATTCGAACCTACACCCTCAGAGTCAGGCACATAATCCAGAAAACTTTCCCGCTGCGCAGAAAAACGCAGAAAAGCCCACATTAATCGTGGAAATAGCAACATAAACACATTACCTCGCTACTGAAACAGTGAAAACGGCAACGAAAAACTATGAAACTGCAACATTTTTTATATCAGCGAACTTTGACCTCTACTGCGCATGCGCATTACGATCTCGGCGCTTTCCAATTTCCGAGCAACCGTGAATCGCCTCGCGTAGAAAAAGTATTAAATATGTCGAAATAATTGCTGTCAATCGTTTCATACGAATGGAAAGTAAACCTTAACAAGTGTTCACACAAGTATCATGATGATAAATGCTAAATAACACAACAGAAATACTTAAAAAGGAATGTAACTTTTGTCCAAGCTGGAAAATGTCAACATGTCAACTTCCTCTTCCATGTGCGCATGCGCAAAATCGAAGTTGCGGGCTCCTCGTTTTATGATGCAGTGTTAGCGATTTAAAGTTGCCGTTTTTACTGTTTCAGTAGCGAGGTATTACATTTATGTTGCTATTGCCACGATTAATGTGGGCTTTTCTGCGTTTTTCTGCCCAGTGGGGAAGTTTTCTTTGGTAGGCCTGTAATCGCCAGCACACAAAGTCAGACACCTAACCCACTCAACTATCGCGGCATCCACGAAGTGCCTGACTCTGAGAGTGCAGGTTCGGCGAATATTGACGATCGCATGATGTGTTAAAGGGAAACAACTCTGCATAGCTCTTTGCGGTGCCTCTGATGACCGGATTCAAGACCTCCTCTAAGTGTAAGATGGTTCTGTTAGTTTACCAGTGACTCCGTGCATCTGATAGTTCCCGCTTCTTGCTCTCCTCTTCTTGATGCTGCTACCGCGACACGTGGAGTCGTACAACAGAACTGCTACAACGAGGATCAGCAGGGTTGCAACAGCAGCAATGGCCCCATAGTTGGCCTCGTCAGAGGCTAAAACTTGTTCCACTTTGTCCGACATGTTTGCTGGAAAAGAACATATTTATATAATCTTCATGGAATACTAGTACGTTACGATCTGCTGTGTGTATGTCGCATTTGCCTGATGCTGGTATCGTTGTTCATGCTATAGTCCGTTTGGCTCAAAAGCGGACAGATGAATAGAAATCTAACTGGGAAACTAATAAACATATAATACGCAATGAAACACTGATCATAATCAAAACATCAGACCAACTCTGTGAGGTTTTTTTTTGCAGAATTTATGTCCTAAAAAAAACAGTTGTTTAACAAAATGTCATTAAAATATTGACCCAGTTCATTATTTGTTACGAGGGAGGAGTGCAAAGAGAGGAACAGCCAGGTGTTCGAGAAAGGATAGAGATGGTACAGCACAGATTAATGAATCAATGACTTTGTCGGCACTTGTGCTCGTGCTTCTCGTACACCTGGTTGTTCTCTCTTTGTTAATGAACATTATATGTTCGGATATGTGGGTGTTATTGAGCAATCGGTTCCCGGAAATTCTAACATTTGAAACACCCGGTTCCGCCTTAATACCCTAAATTAAACATTTCATAACTTTTTTTTAAAACTTTAGGACTGCAATATACTTGAAGATTCACTGTTCATTTTGTCAGCTCATTTTGAGACCAATCGAAAAACGTATGTGAAAGTCACCAACAACGGGTAGACACACGGGATATGCAAGTTATAAATATAACCCATTTGTCATATGACCCATTTGTCTAACCCATGCAAGCGACCTTCTTGGGCTTGCACTTGTATTGTTGCATTCCGTCTCGATCCCCGGTGTTATTGTTCGGTTTGGACGATATGAATATATGCATAAGTGCCCATAAAATGTCCTGTGCATGATGATGGGGTAAGCAGAAAGGGAATTCTCTCGACTCCAATTGGGATTTTCCAACATGGCATTTCACGAGTGTTGAAAGTAGTCCTCTTTGATGGGCGCGGCCGTATGTTTTACATTCATTGGGAAATGAAAGCAATGACACGTGCACGGTTCACGTAATCTGAATACAGGAATTACAATGGATATAACGCAATTAAAGACTTTGTATTATCATTTCCTCGCATTATGGGTTTTCGGACATTTTCTTTGTTCGTCGTTTGTCGCCACATTTACAACTATAAAACACGTCACTATAGCTTATAAAAGATGACTTTGTGAGCTGATATGTTTTGACGTGAGTGGTTGTTTGATGTGTCCAGACGTGTTTGGATGTAAAGTCGTTTGTTTTCAAGTGTGTTGATGTTGATGCGTTTGTAGGTAGGCATATCTTTGTTTGGGTGGGTGTGCATTTATGTGGATGTGAGTTAATGTGTTATAGGTTTTAGGGTGTGAGTTGTTATATTTGAGCGCGTGTGTTTTTATTTTTGAACTTGGTGTTTATAAATGGACGCGTGTAGATGTGAGTTGCTGTGTGTGGATGTGGGTTGATGTTTAGATGTGTTGATGTCAGTTGATGGGTGTGAATGTAGGTTGATGTGTGTGTGTGTGTGTGTGTGTGTGTGTGGAGAGAGAGAGAGAGAGAGAGAGAGAGAGAGAAAGAGAGAGAGAGAGAGAGAGACGTTTTTCAAAGATATAATATATTAGTTTGTAACAAATGTAATTTAAACTTGCTTGAAGATCACATGTTGCTAATATGTCCATTTTACAACCGATGCAGATCCGAATGTATTCGTACCTATTTCTACAGCCCGCCTTCACGTGTCAAATTTCGAGCCCTTATGAAGATACAAAATATCAATGTTCCTAAAGGGATATGTATATTCCTGAAGCAAAATCTACGTTAGCACGATGTGTATTATCATGTATTATATTTCAACTCTACACACCATGACAATGTTGTAATACCTGTTGTATTTTTGGCCACATGGCCTTTAATTCTGAATAAAGTGATCGGATCTTTGAATGTGGGTTGATGTCTATATGTGGACGTGTGTTGATGTAAAGTGTTTTTTGTGGATGTGGGTTGACGTTTATATGTGGGCATGTGTAGATGTGAGTTGTTGTGTGTGAATGTGGGTTGATGTTTAGATGTAGACGTGTGTAGATGTAAAGTGCTGTTTGTGGATGTGTGTGGATGTTTATATGTGGGCATGTGTACATCTGAGTTGTAGTGTGGGTGTAGGTTGATGTTTAGATGTGGACGTGTGTAGGCGTGAGTTTTGTGAATGTGTGTTGATGTTTAGATGTGGAGATGTGTAGATGTGAGTTTTGTGAATGTGGGTTGATGTTTAGATGTGGGGGTTTGTAGATGTGAGTTGTAGTGTGCGTGTAGGTTGATGTTTAGATGTGGAGGTGTGTAGGTGTGGGTTGTGTGGGTGTAGGTTGATGTTTAGATGTGGACGTGTGTAGGTGTGGGTTGTAGTGTGGGTTGATGTTTAGATGTGGGCATGTGTAGATGTGAGTTGTGGGTTGATGTTTAGATGACGTTTATGGATGTGTGTGGATGTGGGTGGGTGGGTGCGTTTAAATGTGGGTTTATGTCTGTGGGTGTGGATTTATGGTGTGGGTTGGTTTTGATGAACATGGATATGGTTGTGTGAGTTTTAATGTGTTTGGATGTGTGTTGCAATGGAAGAAAAAACATCGTGTTATCGCCCAAACTGTAAAGAACTCCTATAATGTGCACGTGAGCAGTGACGCGGATCCAAGCTCCGAGCTGTTCAACGGGAACTGCCACAGCTTTCAATGCTTTGAAATATACCAGTCAGCTGATAATTGTTAAGAAGCTATACAAAGTTTGGCCTATATAGTGGAATACCTTTATTCCCGCGACTGAGTGACACAGCAAGATGTCGTCCTAACTCAACACCACTTTCCTACAATCCGGAATCTGTCATTAACGTCTGATTCAATATCAAGATGACATGTCCCTGTCTTATGTGGACGGGACAAACCAGTGACTGGAGTTCGATCCAAACCATCATGACACGAAGACCGCCAAGTGATATCCTTTGATCGCCTGAACGCATGTAGTCGCCTCATTACCCAGGGACATATTTTAACTCTCCCTCCCCATAAGGAGTCACTGACATGCATTATCTGTAGTCGCTCAGATGTAATTAATTTCTGTTGATTTCCAACTGATTATCTATTGTATACAATGACCACATAGTTTTAATGTTTAACAAATATTAATCACATTAACAGGGTATGTTACTAATGTCATTAAATGCGTCTCTGTTTTAACGTGTATTAGGGGCTGTAGGTATCCTATTGATTAAAGCATTCGCTCGTCACGCCGAAAGTCCGAGTTCGATTCCATCCATGGGTGCAATGCTTGAAGCCAGTTTCTGGTATCCTCCCATGACAGTTCTTGTATTTTGCAACAACCCTACGTAAACAACACTGAACGTATTTACGACAGCATATGCACATGTATCACAACGAAACGTGTAGAATTATAAGAATTATAAGATATTTGTGAAAAGAAATAGTAATGTCATTGCCAATGTCATTTAAACAAAGCGCTTCAAGTGGAGTTACCTTAAAGCGTGTATGTATTTCACAATTAGACAGGTTCAGGTGTATGTATCCTGGTACACAATGCTAGGTCACAGGAGTGAGTGTTTTGCACGGCAAATGTCAGTCTTGTATGACTAATGGCTTGTACTGACGTCGATGTTGGTTGACCGGGCTGTCCGCGAAAGCAATACCTACAATTGTTAAGTGGCGACGATGTGGCGTGTTGCAAGAAAGACAAATAAATTATTTCGTTTACAAGATACTATAGACTGGAAATGTTACATAGGTACGTTAACCTATCACAATAAAGACGGAGATGTAGACATAGCTATGTACTGATGCAGTGAATCTATTACGTCGTTAATTCCCCCAAACGTACATGAATATATGGTAGTATATCAATATCAGATAGGAAAATATCCTCACATCAACATCAGTTGGTCACATACAAGCGCTGCAAGACAAGTTGCAAATGCGTATGGTTAAGTTGTAGCCGAATGTAAAGCTTCTGTAATGGCGTCTGACAAACGCTGCAACGGAAATGTCGTCGACATGTTACCTGTCCCAGGTTAGACCTGAGCTCCATACAACTGCAACCTTCCTTGAATCTATATCTAAAACATTTAGGCTTACCTTATCGTGAATTATACGAACGTCCAAAATAACTTGTACCAGAAGGTGTTGTGAGACAAGGTGTGTCTCTCAGACCCGTCAGTTTACTGATCAGATTTACATTCCAAACCATTCAAGCGGAAACTCCCCGATATAGCATGAACGAGGTCGTCTTTACAATTTAGGCAAACATGAAAAGCTTTCCATCCGGGTCTCCACCATGCAGTAAACATAACCCGTCCTGCGGGGTTACTGCCTGCATTGTTTGTATACCTTAACCTGGGTGAGTGCGGAGACATGCACTCGTAGTGTGAAGCCTTTAGCATCTGAGAAGGCGGACATTATTTAGATATACGTTAAAACAATATCAAGGACATGATGTGCGCAAATTGTGCTGAATATATTATTTTTATACAATGTATCTTTCGGGATCGGTGATACAGATTATTCTATTTTTTATAATCCTGAATAAAATACGCAGTGGCGGAAAGTTCACCTTGTAACAATGATAGGGTTAAGCCAGTCGTGTCGTATGAGGCTTGGGTGGTATGCACAAGAATAGACGCACTGATGCTTCATGAATATAGTTTTGCGTTGAGTTTAGCAATATCCACGGTGGGTGCTCCACACCGTGTCCTAGGTGGATGAGCGCTCTAACCACCAGGTTACCCCACCACCCCTGATAGTCTAGGGTAGATACATAACATTGCATTGTCTGTGTTTCTAGCTCAGAGAAAGTAACAACAGTTTGTAAACTTAGTAAAACATTCAAATATTCATTATTCGTAAACTGTACTTGGAAAGTTGGAGGGGTGCTCTTCCCCTTTTGGAAAAGAGCTCGAACATATATACACTGTGGAGTTGCGTAAATGTAATGAAAGCAATTATAACACTATGTCTAACTCAGTGTTGTTTTCACAAAAGCAATATGATATTCAACCAAAGTGTTTCGAAATTTGTTTGCTTTCATGCAACAGAACTTTACACATAGAAATCTTGCATTCATTATCCATATGGAGCAAATAAGCAATTTCTTAAATCACGCGAAGCACATATGATGCATTGCTGTAATGTAAATACCATTTTGACATAAAATAGACACGATTTTATATTTTAAGTATAATGATGTCGCACAGAGAGAGAGAGATGGGGGTGTGTGTGTTGAGATTTCCATACGTTATTTGTGTTTACATCCATTTTCAGCTGTATATATCAGTGATATCATGGCATGAAAATGATGATGATTATAGGTGTGGACAGCTACCACTTTGGTGAAACCCATGAGCTCGGGTATGGTGCTCACAGGTCAAAACCCGGTATATATCCTGGATTCGAACCACTACTAACACGTGCTCTGGACGCAGTTTCTGTTTGGGTGTTTGTTTGGAGGGTGGGGAGTGTAGAATTTAAGCGACATCAAGACCAATCCTAACCCTTACAAGAAACTATGGTTTGGCGAATTGGTATTTTGTTATACACAATGCCAAGCAATGACGATAAACCTAAACAACGAATAAACTGTCAAACTGACTGTCTAAATCATAATTAATTCATTAAGCAGTAAAACCAACAATGTGAGGATGTGTTTTTTGTCTTACACGAATACATTAAAGTGAGATAAGGACATGAATACTGTTGACAGTTTAGATCAGTGTTTGCTCCCGTGGTCTGTGTCAGGTTGTTCTGCATACACCTCACCGACAAAGTCTGTCACTGGTTACAGTAGACGATAGTGTGACTGAAACTGGCAGATACCATAGAGACATGGAGCTGAAAACAAGCACCGACATACTTTAACAGTGAACCAGAGGAACAAATCATCACGCACATTTAGGACAGATGACTTTTTAAAACATTATACCCAGCGTTTATAATGTTATGATCCTTGTTAATATTAAAACAACAAAGAACTACAAAACGTTTAAAGAGTGAACTTACAACTTGCTTGCGTACATGTGTATTTGCCAGTAATAAATCTATGTACTTACTTTAACGAAACATATGAATAGTGGGATGCCCATTACCTACACTAGTAGTTTCGATCTTACTGCGTGAAACAAAGTGCAGAGAATTCAAAACCCAACTGTAGTTTCTTCTTTAAATTGCAATATTTCAGCTCCGCGCAAGTGTAAATGTATTTACCCACGCTTTCTCGTGTTCACATCAGGTGCTGTGTGCTGGCAACTAACACGTACAGTGTAATAGCTGGTGGAAGCATGACTGGTACCTTTTAGGGCAGCTTCTTTTAATTGGGACAAATGCGTCAACCTGACGTTGTCTCCGCGAGGTCTTAGCGCTGTCACGCCACTGTGTGAAACTTCAATACCACAATTAAACATTGTGCGACATTACAACACTATCGTGAGGCACTAAGCTGCTATGACACAATGCAGTATTATTGCTATCATCACATTGTGTGATACTAGAGCACTGAGATGCCTCACCAAAATATATTGAGAAACAAAACAGTCCACAATCTCGCCACCAATTACATACTTGCTATTTGGCTTTGGGATATTATATTTAAAAATCATCTAGGTGTAACCTGTTCTTTATTTCTTTGTTTATAGAAAATATAAGCATGAGAGTAAAATGATAAAGGATAAATACACTTCACATGAACACGCACTAGCGAGTGAGTGAGTGAGTATGATTTTACGTCGTTTTGAGCAATATTCAGGCAATATCACAGCAGGGAACCGAACCCGGAGATAAAAAGTAAAACAAATGGGAATCGTCAGACTGCAACATACCAAAACCAATTTGCTTGAGGTTGGCAGATAGTATGTAGAAACTTTAACATAAAACCGCTGCATTTGTATCATTTTCTAGGTGGGTTTGACTACTTTTTCAACGCCCCTCGCAACTGATTACATATTTCGTGGAGAGTTTTGCTGCTGGGTTGAAAGATGAGATATGATCAAGAAGGGACTTGAAACACTTCGGCCAACGTGTCCTTGTCGCTTTAGTCCATACTAGATAACCTATTCAGGTAAAGCCGTGGGAAGCGACAAACACAAAAACGTTCCAATCAACGTTACACAAAACGCACTGAAGCATCGTTTCAAACACACAGTCATGTTCAAGCTGTCTGGTGTAACTGTAATCCTCATCTTGGCTACAACCACGCGTGTGGTGTGGTGTGAGTCCTGTCCTAGACTAACAACTAGTCTCTGAAATGAACATATTTTACTGGGAAAAAAGTTCATAGTAAAAAAAATATATATATAATGAAAAGGAGCCCTGAGACTTTCTTCATTTTCTGAAGCTGAGGAAATCTAGACTTGCCACATTTTCTAGACTTGTGTGGGCTTTCTTGGATATATTTACTTCAGGGTCTGTACGACAGACTAGTCCTGTCCCAACGGCTTCCTGTGCCACGACAACTCCTTCTACAGCCTCATCCGTGTCCAAGCATCATGGGCGGAGGTGGCCGCGCAAGATGGGAACCTATGGGAACTGTCAGGCTATTTTAAAGGCCCAAATCCGCCCTACACAGAGGAAGCCTCGGAACACATCTTTGTGGAAAGTGTCAGGTGTCGATTTTCACGTGGAAACTATAACTAAGCCAATAAAACTTTAAGGAAAAGTGAGTGAGTGAGTGACATACAAACAAGCAAGAATAGGTTTTAAAATCCATCCAAATAACTGCAATGTAATCATAATGACAGTACACGATATGGTGGCAATACAAAATTTAAAGGTACTTCCATTACAAAGCCAGTGTAGAATAATATAGCATTGGAAATATCAATAAATCAATGGTAATATTTTTTCACCTGGCAGTAAGAGTAATCAAGCAGGGTGAAAACAATGATCTTCACGCCATAATTTGTCGAAAGGTAATGTGAGAATTGAAATGAATAACACTGCCATATCACAAAGGTTGTCTCAAGGTGAAGACTCTACACTAAAAACTGTTATCGTGACATCTTGGTACCTTGACATCATATTAGCTACTTAACTTTGAAACTGGGTTTATTTGCCTTCATAGATTCTCTGTAAATTGTCACACATTATATCCTCAAGAGATTTCTAATATATTTAACACCCAGTCCATTTGTACGTCACTACCTATGTAATTGTATTATTCTTCGGGAGCGGCATTGATATAAGCATGTTTATATTTGTTTGCCAATCCCGTCATGATCATGTGAATACATATGCTTAAGCCACAGTAAAAACTGATAGTGTATGGATAGGCGGTTAGATGGACTTGGTAAATATCCAAACCACCACTACCTGGTGGAGTATGAGGCTGACACATATTGAGTCCCTTGAGACAGTATTGTGTTTCTAATTTAAATGTAAGAGTTTGTTTGTTTGTTTGTTTGAATATCGCAGTATGTTTTAACACTGAATTGATTGGACCAGTTACCCTGGTAATGCCAGTGCATGTTCAGAATGTGTAAGACGTATGATACTTCGGGATATGCAGCTCCTGGGGAAATGCTTACAAGAGATGTATGTGGCATTTCAAAATTCCGTGTAATAACATGGATAGTGATCCATAATAAATCATACCGACGATGATTCACTGTTTCAATTTTTAATTCGAAAATTCTTTCCCCATCTTACGTACACGCGTAAATTCGTCAATTTAACTGTCTGTAACAGTGATATATTTAACGGCAATTTGAAAAGGCTAAATGCTTTAATATTACTGTCAATTGGCACAATTGTGATGTACATCAGTGTTGAGAAAGAGTATATGGGACAACTCCTCCTTTTCTAACAGTGAAAGGTAACATCGTGTCTCATGGTTATGACTTGATCAACGAGTTGTGACCTAGAGCTGGTTTAAGCTCCTGTGAAGGTTGAGTTTGAAAAGAATAGAATGTAATGTGTATTTGCCCCTTGAAGTGTTGTTGAAAATATCTATGGTCAGAGTGTGAGTTTCAGGCTATAATGTTATATAATGAAATTTGGTAGCGCCGTGGGCTGACACCATCAAAACAGGCACTTGACCAGACTACTTCAAATAGCCACACAAAATTACGTGCGAGTACATCGCCATAATGTTAATTTTTACATCAGAGTAATAATCATAAAGGCTACGTTAAACCCCATTTCACCTCACCGCAAGTGTACACCTCCTTCAAAAATGCGGAGTCAGTACTGCGACTGTAGATTTGAAAATATTCACGTAAGTGCCAGGGATAGCGTTGATCTATCGCCAAATGGCTCATGCGATGCGAAATGTTACACCAGTCACTCACAACGTTCAAGTCGTAATGTTAAAACACTCATTTATAGAGTGCACCATAATGATCTTTTTGTTAATCACTGCTTCTGGAATCAAATACAGTTTCATAAGGAGCACAACTTTTGCCAAAGTGGAATGAAAAGCGAGACCTGGTCAGAATTTCACTTTGTCGCACTTTATTGATGTGGTGCCGTTGTGCCGTGGTACCGAGGTTAATATTGCTACTTTGGGCAATTTTGTGAAGCGACAATGCAACAACACGACTACGTCCCTCCTTGGATGCCGTAGATTCCCCGGATTTACTTATATTATCACTGGCGCAGACAAGACAGTTTGAAATTAAGATTGTGGGAGCCATTGTTTGGTTTGACAACTTAAATTGGTCGACGCACATTGAAGGTCGTTCATTGTTTAAAAGGGGAATCAATCTCAAAGTCCAAATTTATAACGGTTTAACTCTTGAAACAATGAGTTGTTGACATTTAAGTCAAGGGCTTGAGATTGCATTGACAATAAAAGGGATAAAGCAAGGAGGGTTACCATTCAGGGGTGTACCTTCAGTGACAAAACGTCCTATAGTGAGCTACAGTACAGAGCGTCTGATCTGAAGCACGACAACAATGTGGATCCCATCTGTGACGTTCCTTCTCTTCCTGGCTGTTACGAAGATTTCAGCTGAAAATTGCCCTAGCGGGTTCACACGTCAGGTTGATTCCTGCTACAGTCTTATACGCTTTACAGCCACATGGGCGGATGCGGCTGTGTACTGTCAGGCCATAGGTTCCCATCTTGCATATGTCGAAACAGCTGCTGAACAGACTTTTCTGGAAGGGTATCTCAAGCGAGAATCATCAACTATACAGTCCTCTGGAGTCTGGCTGGCTGGTTTGACCTACCTGACAGAAAACGAGTGGCAGTGGGGCTTTAAAGGCGGGCGCATCGCCAATACGTGGTGGTCTCCGGGAAACCCAAATCATGACGGGGACCAGTTTTGTCTCATGTTGTATAAACCTCAGGCATTCAAGTGGGATGATGCTGATTGCAGCTACCCACATTACTTCCTGTGTGAGCTTGAGCTCAAAGATGTACCTAACATTACAGGAAAATAACATTTCTGTTCAGCTAAAGGGTACGTAACAAATGTCTACTCAGCGGACACTACTGGACATCGTCCTGGACACAGTAAATATGTGAATGACTTATTCCGTGTTTAGAAAAGGAAGACATTCATTATTTGTGAACTGGTTATCTTTTTCGCTATGTTTTATGTCGTTTTAGTTAGACAATAAACCAGTCATGAAAAGTATTGATAGTTTGATAGTATTTATGCACTCGACAGATATTATGGCTGATGGTTTGGATCGCTATTAATATCCCGCTCCAACATGGTACCCCGTCATAAAAATTTAATGAAAAGTTAAGTTTATTTGATTATTTTATGTTTACTAATCAGGAAATTGTAAAAGTCACTACATGAGTTAGTTCTAGTGTTGAAAACTTCTGCTTTGCATAGTGTATTCCATCACCTTTAGAGCCTCCGTTGGTGTGTGAAACTGTGACATAAAACCGTCAATATTTTATGCTACTGCATAACATGTCAAACCTCAAGAAATATACCTCTGCTGTTTTCCTGTTTTCACAATACAAAATACCAAGGAATAAGGGTTCAAAGGTGTGCTTACCTGTGTTATTAATGAGCAGGGATGTAAGCGATATTTATTGCAAAGTAACATTTGGAGCATGTTACAAATTCGTTACAGATATAGATACATTCCTGAAAGATTCTGTACAGCCACGTCATCAGGTTATAAACTGTGTTACTTTGTTAACATTTTGATCGTAGAATAATGTGGACATACACATATAAAGTGATGTCTATCTTCACATCAAACATTTTTTTTCGAAATCTACATAGTCTATGTTCCAACAAAATACTTATATACATGTCTGTTTCAGTAAATATATCATGTGAGCTACAACGAAATCAATAGAGATAGGCATGTCGCTTTAACATGCCAGTACTCTTAGCATACAATGATCTTTTAACGTTTTTCACACTGTTGTCTACCGACTCAAACACAAGCCTGATTGTACACAGAGCGACCTTTCAGCTCTGATAGGACATAAGTCTTCGGGGAGCATTGAGGTTCCATGCTTCAACACAAGATCACACATAACAGAAACATGATTAATCGAAAATACACGATGTCTTTTATAAAGAGGCCAAATGTAACAAATGTTATATTTGTAAATCCCAAAGTGTATAGAGTGGTATCCCAAATATAACATTTGTTACATGATTAATCACGCGCATAGGTTTGCACAGACAAAGTGAGTGAGTGAGTGAGTGAATGTACCTTTACACAGCTTTTTAGCAAAGTTAAAACAATATCCCGACGAGGTAAGTAAAAATGGCCACACACTGTACCTATGTGGAGAACTTAACCCGGGTTTTCAGTGTGACGAGCAAACGCTTAAACTACTACGCCCGTTAACAATGAATAGTAGACGTACACTACTATTGCATTTAAATACAATTCCTTTGTTGTTTATGGTCTGAAAACGTTTTTCTTACGATACTAATCTTAGTGTCCTAACAATCCTTTAGTTTACTGTTTTCGGCAACACTTGAATATACATGTAATCTCAAAATCAGTGTAAAATCAGAGATATCTTTGTAGACATTATGCATGCTAGTGCATAATCTATACACGATTTATATATGTTATGTTAGATAGATTAGATACGATCACTTTAGGCGTAGACATCAAGTGTCTACACTTATTACGTGACACAAACACATATTAAAGTGTGTGTGTGTATGTGTGTGTGTATGTGTGTGTGAGAGAGAGAGAGAGAGTGAGTGAGTGATACAATTTACTGTTGGGCCCATTCGCTTCGTAATAAGGTAGTTGTGTGCGTCCACTGCTAAGAACAGTGGTATTAAAGGGAGCCCCGTTACCGCTAACAGTGCAATGTACATGCATTTATATGGTTGATAGCCTATGATGTCATTTGGATTCTGTGACCCTATACAATCACAGTAACATTCAGAAAGAACATCTAAATGTGTTCGTCGATTTCATTTAACTTAAACATATATGATATACAACTTGTTGCTGTTATCACACAACTAATATGTCTGAGACCTTTATGTTTGTATGAAAAGTTAAGGGAAAGGGACACGATTCAGACCATAGTTTGGTTGCTACCCGACATTCAGGTTATGCTGACTGATACAGCAAACAGGGTGCACCTCTCTTGCATCGTGGTGGTGTAAATCAATACCAAGTCTGCACTTTTAACCTGTAGCTGTGTCGCAGGGGTAGAGATTGTGTTGAACAGGTAAACTTGAAGCCACACTGGTTGCAAGTGTTCTTAAAACATGTTTTACTCATCAATAAGTATCACTGTCCTCTTGGGATTTATGCACGTGGTTTCCAGTGACTGTCCCAACGGCTTCCTGCGCCACGACGACTCCTGCTACGGCCTCATTCGTTTCGATGCATCATGGGCAGAGGCAGCCGTGTACTGTCAGGCTATAGGCTCCCACCTGGCTTACGTGAAGACGCCCTCGGAACAGACATTCCTTGAAGGTTAGCTCAAACGAGAAGACTCTACTATAACTACTGATGGAGTCTGGATCGGTGGGTTGACATACCTGATAGAGAACGAGTGGCAGTGGGGATTTCAGAACACCCGAATCGCCAGTACCTGGTGGGCTCCTGGGGAGCCAGATCATGTTCACAATATCCAGTTCTGTCTGATGATGTACAAGAAAGGCGACTACCGGTGGGACGACAATCAATGTCAGGCCAAGGAGTTTTTCTTATGTGAACTGGAGCTTGAGTCCACCCCTGGAATAGTTGGGAAATAACAGTGTAAGAAAGTCCGACTTTTCCTTACTACTAGTAATGTGTGGCATAGTTTAAAATGTGCCTTTTAATAATTACTGACGGATACATTGATTGTATACTCCAGTGATGCCACTGCATGATTGTAAAATTATTTATGATCTCTGTTCATTCTGAATATGCATAACCTCTGGAAATTCTGAAAAGGACATGGACAAAGTATTATCAGTTGTTATTTAAATAAGTCAGTGTATTAGCATGCATAAGTCATTGTAAATAATGCCAGAACATTAAATGTTTAACGAGTTTGATTGCTTGCTGTTCGATTTAAACAGCCCATTCAAACAGAACATCTGAGAACTGCTTGAAACGGTTTTGGGCTTTCACCGTGTGATTGCAGACATGGAACTGTGTTCATTTGGTGATTGAAACGATAACAATTTACGGTGAATTTCTGTACTTCTTGAAGTGTTACTTGCCCAATTTGCGGTTATTATTTTGGGAAAAACGTTTGTCCTATTACTGCCATCCGTGTCCAAGCATTGTGGGCATGGGTGACAATGTACTGCTATACGCTCCCACCTGGCTTACTTGATTACGGCCTCGGAACAAGCTGGCCAGTACCGATCGACTAGCGACATAGCTATAGTTTATAATGAACTGGAGATGATACTGTCACTTATCGCTCTCACTCATTTTCAAAGCATTATCTTACTGGGCATATCCTTCGTTTTGCACTGCTGATGTCACCTTAAAGCTACGGGGTCTATGCCTGCTGTTGGTTGATAAGGCGGATAGGTTTGTTGTTGATTTACAGATAGGAACCCCTCCTGTATGACATTCAATTTATGTTTCGTAGCTAGTTACAAAACTCGGTAATGCTTCGTAATGTTTCGTTTAGCTTGTCTCAAGTTATAAGTTATCTTGCATCTCGGGTGTATCAGCAAACCAGACATATATTGCATTATAAGCCGATCTGAGATACTGCTGCTATCTGACTCATTAAAACAAACTCTGTGACTTACATCAACTAAAGGAATTCTTAGACAATGCAACACGATCAGACACTAGAACACTCTGACACACTACAATATGATCACATGTTACAACAAGACACAACAGAGGTCAAAGAGCATACAGCACAACAACGTGAGACACCAAGGAACAATCGGACACTTTGTTGTGGTGGTATATCAGGGGGTTTTGTGAGCTGTGAGACACTGGATGTTTTTATACTATAATCCACAATAATCGTACACTTGCTTGTACATTTAGAGTTTAAGGTTATCAGTTGAAATTTCAAATGTCTGACAGCGACAGGTTAGATAAGTGGGACAAGCTTGGGGCATATCAACACCACGATGCAGTATAACATTCCTCGGAACTAGAACAAGATCAGATGGTACAGCGATATGTTTCTTTCATTAGGCCATGATTGTTTGGTTGTTACCCTACATTCAGGTAATGACTAACACAGCAAACAGGGGGCACCTGTCTTGTTTCGTGGTGGTATAAATCAATGCCAGATCTGCACTGTCGGCCGTTTACCTTAACACAGGCTTGCTGCACCACGAGGCTGAGATGGCAGTTTCCCAACTGGCAGTGTCCCACGCGGAGACAACCTCGGAACAATTTTTTTAACATTCCTTCAAGGTCACCTCAAACGAAAAGACTTTACTGTAACGACAGCATTTCGCTGGGTTGTCGATTTTATATGTCCTGCTGATCACGCTTTGGCCAGAATCAAATGCTTTTGCAACGGGATGTTCACCTTGTCTGTCCATCTGCCAGTTTCATTGGCTGTCTAACAAAAAACGTTAAACAGGCAACACTGACAAGACGATATACCGAGTGCCCGCTGCTAAGGCAGAAATACCTTTATAGGGTATAGTTATGTCAGGATTTTTCAGGATGAACACATATCCGAGTGCGTGTGTGTGTGTATGTGTGTTGTGAATAATTAATAATTAATATGTTGTGTGCAGCATTAACACTGTCGGAGAAGGCGAGATACAACTTACTGTGGGGCCCATTCGTGTTGTTATAAGGAAGTTGTGTGCGTCCACTGCTAAGAACAGTGGTATTACAGGGAGCCCTGTGTTGTCATTTGGATTTTGTGACCCTATACAATCACGGTAACTTTTTGAAAGAAGATTCCACGTCTTCGTCGATTTCATTAAACTTAAAAATATATAATATATAACTTGTTGCTGTTATCACACCACTAATATTTCTGTGACCTTTATGTTTGTATGAAATGTTCGAGGAAAGGGACATGTTTTAGACCATATTTTCGTTGCTACCCGACATTCAAGTTAGGCAAACTGACACAGCAAACAGGGCACCTCTCTTGCCTCGTGGTGGTATAAATTAATACTAAGTCTTCACCTTAAGCCTGTAGCTGTGTAACAGGGATAGAGCTTGTGTTGAACAGGTAAACTTGAAGGCAACGCCAATTCGAAACATTCAAGCAGATTCAGCGGTTGCATGTGTTCTTAAAACATGTTTTACTCATCAATAAGTATCACTGTCCTGCTGGCAGTTGTGAACGTGGTTTCCAGTGACTGTCCAAACGGCTACCTGCGCCACGACGACTCCTGCTACAGTCTCATCCGTGTGCAAGCATCATGGGCGGAGGCAGCCGTGTACTGTCAGGCTATAGGCTCCCATCTGGCTTACGTGAAGACGGCTTCGGAACAGACATTCCTTGAAGGTTATCTCAAACGAGAAGACTCTACTATAACTACTGATGGAGTGTGGATAGGTGGATTGACGTACCTGATACAGAACGAGTGGCAGTGGGGATTTCAGAACACCCGAATCGAAAGTACCTGGTGGTCTCCTGGACAGCCTGATGATTATCACAATATCCAGCTCTGTCTGATGTTGTACAAGGGAGAGAGCTATCGGTGGGACGACAAAGAATGTAACTTCAAGGAGTTTTTCTTATGTGAACTGGAGCTGAAGTCCACCCCTGGAATAGTTGGGAAATAACAATGGAAGAAAGCCCGGCTTTGAGGATAACAGTTCTTCTGTCCCGAGAAACACTGTTTTTCTAGTAGTAATGTACATCATGGTTTTAAATGTATTTTGTAATACATAATGTGTATAATTACTGACGGATACATTAATTGTAAACTCCAGTGATGCCCCTACATGATCGTAAAATATTTATGATCTCTGTTCATTCTGAATATGCAAGCCTCTGGAAGTTTGAAAAGGACATGGACATAGTATTATCACTTACTATTTACATTAGTTGATGTATTAACATGAATAGTTCATCATTAATGATACTAGAACATTAAGTATTCAACGCTTTTCGTCGTTTGTTCGATTTAATTAGTCGATTTATCCTGTTCCGGTTCTGCTCAAACTGAACATCTAAGAACCATTTGAAACGGGTCTAGGTTTACACCATGGGATTGCACGACCATATTACCAACCAGTGTCGTGACCATATTACCAGTCAGTGTCGAGACGCCATATCTGGTGCACCTCCTTGATAACTACAAGGCTTACGTGACACCACACTATCCTGTCCTCATGAGGTTGAAACATTGAACTGGCGGGTTGACTTGGTGCTTGAGACGATAACAATGTACGGTGCATTTGTCGTCCTCAAATGTTACTGGACCATCAGTTATCATTTCTGGGTAGATTGGGGAAGGCGTTTCCCAACTGCTGCCATTTCTACATAAATCACCTACAGTTGTGTCAGAGAAGGGGAAGGGGTGGGGGGTCGAGAAGAAGGGCTGAGTTTAACTATGTACTGCTCATTGTGACAGTCAATCCGTTGGCAGCGGTGAATAAGGCACCTAATCGCCAGCGCACGGTGGAAGCCGCGTTGGCTGAGCGGGTTAGACGGCTGACTTTGTGTGCCGGCGATTAGGTACCTTACTCTGGGGGTGTGGGCTCGAATCCCGGATGGGACTCAAAGCACCAAAACATTACTAAGAAAGTGCAATCCCAAATATAACATATGCTACGTGAAATATATGTTCTTAAATGACTACCGTGACAAGTACTGATTCACCAGTTCCCGTTCTTGGTGTGTGTATTTCACAGAAACGAAAATCAATCCCCTTAGGAGTCCGAGTTAGAATTGGTGTTAGAGTGCTTGTCGTTAGTTACACTGTCGCATTTCGTTGACCCGTTCATGTTGATAGATATCTGTACATCATAGTCTATATGTAGATGTACAAACATCTTGTACATGTCATACACGCCCCAAACTTAGTAAATTACGTACAAACGATACCAGGTTTATGTCGCCCGTGCCATTTCGTCTTTTCAGTGCATCATAACAGTTTCTGGAATATCTTGTTCATGGTTGTCTTATTAATCTTATCCAATACGATAATACACTAGTATCGGCGTTCATAAATCATGGAGAACTGCCTCATTCGGCTAGTATGACTTTATTCGCAGCTTTGTATACTGCATGTAATAGACATTTACAGAAATGTACTTTTTCTATTGTTTTATTGTTATGTATGCCCAAAACGTCTGAACCATACGCCAAGATCGGTAGCATTATTCCGACGGATAATCTAAATGACGATTTGATTGGCATTTCTGTACATTTGGTTAAAAATTCTTTTGTGACATGAGAAATTATTTTTCCTTACATAGAAAATGCCTCAAGGCTCTTGAGAACATATTTATACAAGAAACTATACCTATATATTTATGATATAATACTACTTCACTTTCTGTACGGTTTAAAAACCATTTTTGATGTTCTTTATCGAGAACTGTTGGATAATCTACCTCCGTTCTCAGAAACTGTTATTTCGTTTAATCACTATTTACTGTTAACCCCCACTTTAAACAATACTCATATAAAACATCTATTTTACGTTGTAACAGAACCACAGAGTCTGCAAAGATAGCCACAACGTAGGTAAAAAGTGACACAGAATAGTTTCATCGTGTTTTAAGTATATCTCTTGTATCATTCGACAGTATTTTCTTTACAAGTTCTTCAGTGTATAACATCAAGAGGACAGGCGACGAAACAGAACCTTGTCTTACACCAGTGAAGGTGGTTATAATATGTCCGTCATTTCCCACTTATTTGTTTTTACAGAAGCTGTAGCATTAGTGCACGTTTTGTAGAAGCGTAAAATCGATTCCTATTTACACCTGATAACAATTTGGAACTATGGACAGTATAAAATGCGTTCTTGAAATCAAATTTGCATTAGAACATACCCTTTTACCCAAGTATGACACTATGCAGTCTCAATATATGGTCGATGGCTGAGCATCCTTCTCTGAAACCCGCCTGGCATTCTGAATTCAATTGTTTTATAGATATCCAAGACTTTATACGATTGTCGCAGGAACTACAAACGTCCGAACTCTGGCTGAAGTGTTTAGTCGTAAAGAAACCTGTGGATTAGAACAACACGTTAAACTTCCCTGACATGATGTGCACTGGGGCCCCTGGCATTTGCAAATGTTATAGAAGACAGTCATGTGACCTGCCTCCGCAACATGTGCAGGAATTGCATGTGCCAAGCCCATGATATACCTTCTTTGAGAGGCATTTTAGAAGTTGTATAGATGAAGGAAAACCAAGTTTTATGTAGAGGGTAATGTTCGAGGGTCTCTCCATTCCTTAAAATAATGGAGCCGAGGCCCCGGAGGGAATTCTGGTATGTCACGTGTTGACCTCATACGGTATGAAACAGTTCGCCATCCATCAAGTAGTTCGTTTATCTATGTCTTTGGTGTTGGTAATAAAGGCTTGCTGGGCTTTTTGTACCCCCCTGTTCTATGTACTTTTTTTTTCTCATCCTCGCTGATAGTAGCAGACTTTTACGAGACTTGGACCGATTTCTTGTTTCATTTTATCATATTTTGCGAGTTCAGAGAGGATTAAACGAAACTCCTCCTCCGAGATTTTGTTGTCAGTGAGTGCCGTGGAAATATGATCATCTATTGTGTTAAGCTTTGCTTCAGCCAGAACTCTGATCTCATCATGCTTCAATGCCTTACGATGCAGTCTGCGAGAAACAAACTTAAATACCAATCCAGCCAACCCTGACACCCCAGCCGTTATTTCGAGTCCCAACACTATAGGTGCAGCCACGATGGTTGTCAACAACCCAACACCTGCCACCCCTAGTCCCATGCTGGTTGCCATAAGGGTAGTATCGGCCCCATCCACGGCATTGAAAGCTCTATGGTATTTTTATATAGTGCTTTCCCGCTTGTCACGATCTTGTTCTAGTTGGCGTCTTACATCACATAATTGTCTCAAGCGAAACCCGTCTACGGTTTCCAGGGTCTTTACTACTTCATCTATGCCTGGATACAGTCCCATCCTATAATATATATTACAAAAGATATTTTAATTGGGCATCACTTAATAGTTGGCCAACGTACCTGAGGCTTATAAAACTTAGATTCTCATATGTGTAGATACGGGAAGGGTCAATAGGTAACTTTTGGTCTATCTCAACATCATAGCAGTTTATTATGGGGGGTAGTAATCCCTGTTGGGAGTCCCCCAATCGTATCACGAATATGCAAGATAAAAAAACCTGATGTTAAGGGGTCGTTACCCCAACGTATTGTTACACCAGGTAAAAGTTCCAAGTTTGGGGATGGGTCAAGGTCATCCAAATCAAACTTATCCTTGTAACCGACTTCTACGATGAGTGTGGAGTTTGTTTCCATACCCCTAACCCCTATTATGGAATGATGGTGGTGGGTGGCTATTAACTGAGACTTCCTGGCTGAAATTAACAGGGTGTCCCTAGGCCAATATTCAGAGTTAGAAACTATCATCCTTTCAGTTGGAATGAAAGACGTGAGCAAGGTACCGTTGTTCCTAATTTCAGAGACATAACCATCTTTGTCTAGTGAGATATAAGGTGCGGTGGTGGTCACGTTGATCACCCATTTAGGTTCTTTAAAGACTGCCAGGTCCTGCCGTATGTACACACCGTTGTTAAATAATAGGACGTATGAGGTGTTTTTATGACCAGGCTTATCAAATCCCTCCGTGTCCCCTAGATCGTTAAGCGTAGTGTTGGGGTGAAGCCAAGACATTTCTATAATACTATTACGATATAATTTCCAACTAGTGTTCTGGTACTAATTCAGGGATATAGCTCAATCCCATAATATATTTTAATTGGGTTTCATTTAACCTTCGATTAATGTACTTAAAGCCGATAATACTTAGATTAACGTGCGTGTAAAAAAAGCGGGGTCTTAGCTCTACGTCCATTAAAGAGACGAACCCCATCAAGGGTTGGTACAGGGTCGTTTCCTGATACCTTAATAATACAACAACGTTGGTTATTACACCTGGCTTCCCAACCTATCACCATATCATCTATAATGCTAATATAACTACTAGTCAAACTTATATCTCCGAGATAGACGTCTATGATGAATGTGAAGTTTTCCGCAACATTTCTAAAAACCTCTTGGTAATCGAGTAATTTGATCTCTATCTTTACCCTCCCACTGTCTGAAGCTAACATGTTGCCCGAGTGGTCTGGTATTGGTATGACTTGTACACTAGATTCCGGAACGAACGATCCTATAATCATACCGTTGTTCCTAATCTCGGAGATAGTATTCTTTTGTTTCAGGGAGATATAAGGTGAGGTGAGGGTTAAGTTGACTAACCATTCAGGCTCTTTAAAATCTGATAACGACACCCGCCTATACACGTTGTCTTTCAAGTGCAGGATGTATAAGGTGTCTTCCTCACCAGGCTGATCGAATCCCTCCGTGTCCCCTAAGTCGTTAATCGTAGTGTTGGGGCGAATCCAAGACATTGCTATATTATTACGAGATAATTTCCAACTGGTTTTCTGATAATAGTTCAGGGGTGCACTTCACCCCCATGAAGTGTATGTTGTCGGGTAGGAATATCTTGGTTAGTGATATAGTGTCTTCCACGACCACGGTGACACCCTGCAGACTGGTTTTGGAGTCGACACCCACCCGCACGTAAACGTTGCAAACGTGATACTGTTGTTGTTTCCCCCACCGGAGTTTGACCCCCTTCACGATCTCTACATCATTCCGCGATGGTTCCCCTAGGTAGACTTGGATGACCAGTGTTGAGTTCGCCGGTAGACTCTCCAGGATCCTGACCACACCTTCGAATTCAGACACCAACTGCAATACCACGTTTTGCATCCCCGCTTTACTCGATAGCATGTGGGCTGCCATACTGGCGAGTGGGCTGATGACTACGCTACGTCTCTGAGTCGGGATGTAAGCCACGAGCAGGGTTCCGTTGTTCACGACTTTGTTTAGGTGGTTGTCTTTATTATCCGTAAACACG